ACTGGAGTGTCCAGTCAGTCAGTGTGTCTGTATGAACCCCTCTCTCTCAGTGCAGTGTTAATGTACTGGAGTGTCCAGTCAGTGTGTCTGTATTAACTGCTTGCTCTTTGGCTCAGAGTTTCCCATGCTGGGAAGGGGAGAACAAGATTGTGTGTGAACAAACCCTGCTGAAGGGAGATGGCCCGAAAACTGCCTGGACCCGTGAAATGACCAATGATGGCGAGCTCATACTGGTAATGACTTCTTGTTTGCTCAATATGCACTGGACTGTGCTTTTACCCTGATCTCACTGGGCTTCACTGCACTGGACTGTGCATTTACCCTGATCTCACTGGGCTTTACTGCGCTGTACTGTGTTTTTATGAGCTCTGACAACACAGAAATAAGAATTTAAAAACTTGGAAATAAGAACTCTAGTCCCACTGAATGCCGTTGAGGGGCGTCATTCTCATTAGCGTTGTGTGATGCTGTTGATGTTTAGTGCGGTGTTTTTTGTCAGTACTGTGATTGATGCCTCTTTGTCCATGTGAAGTACTTGAGGTGTCTGTCAGTGCTGCAGTGTGTTTGTGCTGCTGTTGTTATCTCTTTGTGTTGCATGTCATTGCTGATGCTGTTTGTGTTGTGTTGCAGACCATGACAGCGGATGATGTGGTGTGTACCAGAGTCTACGTCAAGGAGTAAGACTCGAGGACACACTTCTCCTCTTCAGCGCCTTTGCATCCTGTCTCTGTGCTGCAGGGCTGGGAAGACAGAGGCTGATGTACCCAGTGTGTTCAACTCTGTAGTCAGTGTCAAAAGTCAAGTCAGCGTGTCAGTTAGGCTGTGTGTCAGTCAGTCAGCGTGTCAGTTAGGCTGTGTGTCAGTCAGTATGTCAGTTAGGCTATGTGTCAGTCAGTCGGTCAGTGTGTCAGTCAGTCGGTCAGTGTGTCAGTCAGTCAGGCTATGTGTCAGTCAGTGTGTCAGTCAGCATGTCAGTCAGGGTGTAGGTATGTGACCACTCTCTCTCCAGTCCTGTGTTTTCTTGGATGAAAATGGATATTTATTTTATTACAGTTTATACTCAACTTCATTTGGTTTTATTTTTTGGGGGGGTTTTATTGATAATTTCTGCTCTTCTATTTCTGTCTAAAAACAATAAAGCATGGTTTTAACTCCAGACAGCTCACGTGTCTCTGTGCCACAGTGAGTGAGTGTGTGATGGTGTGTGAGTAAGAGCCAAGATCCCTTACTAATTCATTTACAGAAGACAACAACAGATGATTGGTTACACCTGAAAACCAGTGACCAGAAGTCCTATCAGAAATCAACCAAATCACAGCACAAGCCAAACAACAATACCTCACCCACTGGGTCACACACACAAGCACAACACAAACTGGAATGTAACAGGACCCCAAACAGACAATACACACTCTACACACTGAGTATGTGACCAGCGTGAGAGACAGCAGAGAAACAGACCCTGATGAGTACAGGCTCACTGACCACAGCCTGGACAGAGAAACTGGACACAGGCAGGAATGAGGAAGAGAGAGAGAGGGCAGTGAGAGAGAGGAGAGAAGGAGACAGGAGACCGTGAGAGAGGAGAGAAGGAGACAGAGGGCAGAGAGAGGAGAGGAAGGAGACAGGAGACAGTGAGAGGGGAGAGAGAAGAGAGAAGGAGACAGGAGACTGAGAGGGGAGGGAGAGGAGAGAAGGAGACAGGAGACAGTGAGAGAGGAGAGAAGGAGACAGGAGACTGAGAGGGGAGAGAGAGGAGAGAAGGAGACAGAGGGCAGAGAGAGGAGAGGAAGGAGACAGGAGACAGAGGGCAGAGAGGGAGAGGAGAGAAGGAGACAGGAGACAGTGAGAGGGGAGAGAGAGGAGAGAAGGAGACAGGAGACTGAGAGGGGAGAGAGAGGAGAGTAGGAGACAGGAAACAGAGGGCAGAGAGGGAGAGGAGAGAAGGAGACAGGAGACAGTGAGAGGGATACTCCCATACTCTGGGATTAGAGAAACATTCTTCCCTAAATTCAGAAATCTAATCCCAGAGTTCCCACACCTGCCAGACTCAGTTGAACTCAGTTGAACTGGCAGCCCACTATGTGATCTCCTGGCACAGCCTGAGGAACAGTGAGTCTGTCTCCCAATAATGCTCCATCTGTTTACAGTATATGTAAATATTTTTTTATATGTCTTTGTTGTAAATGTCTGTAGATTTCATTTTACTTTTATTTTTTGTTTTGTTTCATGTTACTTTTATTTGCTTTGGCAACACTGATTGTACCCATCGGTCATGCTAATAAAACACCTTAAATTGAACTGAGAGGGCAGAGAGGGAGAGGAGAGAGAGAAGACAGGAGACAGTGAGAGGCAGAGAGGGAGAGGAGAGAGTGAGAGGGCAGAGAGGGAGAGGAGAGAAGGAGACAGGAGACAGTGAAAGGCAGAGAGGGAGAGAATGGGAATCAGACAGTGATGGAGGAGGAGAGAGGTGATCAAAGCACAGTGGCGACAGGGGGAGGGTCCCTGTGCTTTTGTGAAGTGCTGCTCGTTAATCACCATGACAACTCCATGTGGCAGCTGGGGGCACTGGGTGGGAAAGGGGGGCAGGTCAGAGAGACACACTGGCCACACAGACAGGTGTGGAGGAGTGTGTGTGCTCTCAGTGGCACACGGAGGACAGAGAGACAGGCAGGCGGGGGAGAGAGGAGTCCAGGGGTCTGTCACGGCCCACAGGCAGCAGGACTCACGCTGAGCCTGTGACTCGTTAGCAAAACATCTTAAGAGTCCATACTTCCACACATCCTCGTTAACACGATGGCTTCACTCCTGGAGCGAGACAGACTGACACACTGACGTCATGACAGATCGACACGCTGACAGTGGTTGATTGACAGGAACACACTGACTTATGGGTCTCTATCAG